AAATAAAAATTTAAAAAAGGCTCATTTTTAGAGAGAGACCGTGTGCCAGTGTTTATCTTTGCTGTCTCTAACTCTATGCACCTCTCCACACAGTCCCTTTCTTTACTGGTATCTAGTGCTGATCTTTCCCCTATTGTATGTCCCCTCTCCTTGTGCTGTTAACTTAAAGGGGGCTTCTTGCTAGCAGTTCGAATCCAGCAACAGCTCTGAGAGAGAAAGATGGGCAATCTGCTCCCTTAAGATTTACAGCCTCCAAAAACTCACTGGAGGGTCAGTCAGTTGTGACATAAAGGCAGTGTCTGAATATTACCTAATGACTGATTTTCTGTTCCCCTTTTCTCCCCTCCCATCCTGAGGAACTATCAAAGAAGGCTTCTTTCTGTATGTAAACCCTTCCTTAACTTTTTATAATAGTGGACTCAAATAATAATTTTCATTTTGTTACTAAATTATATAATGCCCTTCAGGTTCATGTTATGATGTGTTTAATAAATTGTTATTTTTTTAATATTCCACTATGTGTATGTGTATTTTTGTCTATTCATGTGTTGATGAGACTGTAAATAATGTTGTATGAATAAGGGTGTGCCGGCATCTATTCCTGTGCCAGCTCTCATTTCTTTAGAATATATACCTAGAAGTACAATTGCCAGGGAGATCTGGTGGCCTAGTGGCAAGAAGTTGCTCTGTAATTCTTCACGCACACAGTTCGAGTCTACCAGCTGCTCTGTAGGAGGAGGATGGACAATCTCCTCCTGTGAAATTTACTGCCTCTAACCTACTAGAGAGTCAGCTACGAGTCATTTCTGACTTGACAGCACACAATAACAGTATAATTGCCAGGAAGCTCTTGTGGCACAACAACAACATGACTGCTAGGACAGGGTTCAAGTCTGTTGTTCATAGGGTTTCTATGGGCTGTACTCAACGGGACGGCACAGAACAACAACAACAACAACAACAAGTAGGACTACTGTATAGAATGGTACTTCCATTTTCAACTTTTTAAGAAAGTGTCATACTGCTCTCCACAGTGGCTGCGCTATTTTACAGCTCACTAGCAATGTGTAAGAGTTCCAATTTCTCCAAGAGAACGCTAACTGTAAAAGATTATGATCTTGAAAAGAAATAGATGATTGGTTCACAGAAATGATGACAGGAAAATTCTGTTTTCATAATAAGAAATGCCTCAATACTGAAGACAGTCTTATAAAAAAACCATCACTGTTTTTGAAGAAGCACAGACACTAGTCACACACGAAAATTTGATGTTAGAAGCAAAATGTCATACCTAGTGATATCGTCAAAGACACCATATCCTGCTTTCTTATCTGATATCCACTGGCCAATGAACATACTGGGAGAAGAGGAAGTCAATTTTCCACTTCGCAGGAGCCCATGACCATGGCGCATGTTATCTTGAAAACAGCCTTCAAATACTTCACCAGAGGCATAACTGCGGTTAGAAAGAATGAGCAAAGATCATAAGGGCATTGAGCTTTTTCATTTCTGTCAGGTTCAGGAGATCCAAATGATACTAAAGTTTCTGTAGATATAACTGCACATTATATGGTTATTTTTCACCCATCAAAAAAAATCTCAGTTTTTAAAGATTGAGATTAAGAAGTCAAAGATATCATTGGTAGTATTTTACAATGATGTAAAAGGGGAAAAACAAGTTGTATTGACTGGTTATCAGGAAAAGAAAGTGCTTTAAATTAGTCCATACTAAAGTTGAGTAGCAAAAATAAATTTATAGGGAGGGTATTTAGGAGATTTGGAAAAAGTTACAGTTTTATAAAGCCTATACAATTTGGGTAAGAACTAAATAACTTTTCACTTTATGATAGGTGAGGGGTTGATCTTTAAAAGGAGACATAACATAGCTTTAGACATTCAAGGAGGGGGATGTAGAATATAATCTATCAGGCTAACAATAAGGTGGGTGGTTGGAATCCACCAGGTATCCCACAGGAGACAAGATAAGTCTCCTCACATTAAAGATTCACAGCCTGGAAACCCAGTGGAGGGACCCCACAGCAGTGAGGTTGGAATTGTGACTACAGAAGTTCATAGGTTTTACACTGCTGTTGTTAGGTGCCACTGAGTTGGACTGACAGCTGATGTCCTGTGGGTTTTCAGAGGTTGTGAATCATACGGAAAGAGGTTGCTCATCTTTCTCCTGAGGAACAGCCAGTGAATTCAAACTGCCTGTCTCTGGGTTGGCAGTGCAACTCCTCATCACTCGGCCATCAGATCCCTGGGACTGCAATACTGTTGTTATGTACCACTAAGTTGGAACTGACTCATAGCATACCCTCCACCCAATGCTACTACCTGTAGATTCCCTGACCGCACATTTTCCCTTCTTTCCAGTGGCCAACATAATGGTCTTCCTTGTTCAATGCCTTGTTTGGGATTCTGTATTCTCCATACCTGCAAAGGAGAAAAAATAATTGGAAAATACATAATGACACATTCACTTTTTGTACATACTTTTCAGTAACATTTCAATGAGGACAGAGAAAAGATTTACCTAGAAGAGGAAAGGGGCAAATAAGGTCTTTAGTCAAGCTAATTTGTTCAAGTCCTTGAGAAGTGTAGTGTCAGCCTCACCACACAGATTAGGTGTTTTATTACAAGTTCAATGAAAAACAGAAGACCTATGTCTTGGGCTTATTTCTGCCACTAATTTGATGTTAACTGTTGGGTAAATCTAGATATCCAGTTCCCTCATCTATAAAGTGAGGGTAATAAATCAGATAATCAAAGGTTCTTCTCATTTCTCATGCAAAAAGATCACAATATTTATACTACTACTGCTACTACTACTACATACACACACACACACACACTGATTCAATTTATAATTACATAAAATACTTCACTGACATAAATTTATCCCATAAATACATTTGCTGTATTAAGAAAAATACTGAACTTAATGTCACTGGGAATTATTAGGATAACATATGACTTAAAAGATTTTCCCTTAACATATTACAGAATTAATGCTCTTCAACTACTAAACAGAAAACTCCATGCCAATCTGTATAAAGAGGGCACTACTGTCTAAATAGTCTCATTATCAACATTGTCTAAAATTCTCAGTTTTTTTCTGAGAAATGATAGAAAACACAGTTCCATTTTAACAGCTGTACTGTTGTGTAATACGCACAGCTATCGCAGGAAAGAGTCTCTCCAGCTAAATCAGAGCTGGCATCTAGATACAAACTATCTGTATTACAAGTTTTAGTGTTTTGTGTACATCTCTAAGCATTAAATAAAAATCAACTAATGTTTGAGAAAATATTACAAAAAAACATAACTTATGACTGAAGCTGAAATTAGAGCCTTTAACTTGTTTTCCTCAACCCCTCGCCGACTATTTTCTTACCCATCTTCCAAGCCATTCCTGAACATGCCAGAATACATCTTTCCATCAGGCCACTTCAAGATCCCTCTGGAATGTATAAACAAAGGAGGAAAGAAGTCAACTGGTGTCTCAGAAAAATCATAACACTTCATTTAGTAGTTGGTCAGACGATCATCTGCAGCCAGGGCTGAATCTCCGATGTGTTCACCTGCCATGAGGTTTCCCAGAAAGCCAGCGTCCACTGTAAGTGGCATCCTTCAGGCGAGGATCCTTGTAGAACGTGTACTTGGCACTGCGGGAAATGGGTGGCTCCTGCCTCTGAAGACTGCTCCCACTTCCATAAGGAGGAAGGTCAGAGGTACCCCGCAAAGCCTGATCCACAGCCTGGCTGATTGCCCGAAGCCACTTAGACTAAGGGATAAGAACGAAATGTCAGGAACCTTAAGGCAACAACTCCTCAAACGATACCGCTAGCTCTCCTTGACTTGAATTTCCCCCCTCCCTTTCTCTCAATGCTCTTATTGCATAATAAAGGTTGGTTCTTGGAATTCACCACTGTATGGTTAAAACTGACTAACCCACACTTTAAAAACTCTGACAGCCTTAGCTTAATGAAGGTTTGTCAGGTGTAACCATGGATCATTGATGAAATATTTTTTTTTTCTTTTTCTTTACTGCCACAGAGGACAGAAACAGTTCCCTAGGGTGGAAGAAAACTCTGAAGGACTGACCTTTTCCTGGGGGGTTGATGAAATGAGAGTGAACTGCTCCTCGGGTGTAGTTATCTTTAAGCCATTCCTATAACGTTCACAAGGGAAAAGTCCAGTCAATACAACTCATCATTACAACAACAAACATCAAATATGAAACACAATCTGTTCAATTCAAGAGAAATACAGGTCAATTAAATGTGAGCGCATGCGTGCTCTGGGTTTGGTGAAAGGGCACACAGTGTTACTCTGCTCTGAGGAGGTGACCACGGAGACTCCTCACCACTCCCTGGATAAAGGCTCTGAAACAGGGTCCTGTCATGATCTTCACAACAAGCCGCTGAGTGTTAGAAGGGTGAGCCTCAACATGCAGAGCTTTCCCTCTCACCCAAGAAACAACCTGGGTGGGTGGGAGACACTGGGCGGGGGAAGGAAAACTACTTACACACCACCAGCTTCTTCAGAAAGGGGCTCTGCCCACAGTGTGGCCAAAGGGAAAACATGGTGAGTTGAGAACTGAAAGAGAACATGGAAACAGGTCTGAGAAACTCCATTTGGGTCTCTTGGTCTTGACATCTCCTTCACACTAAATCACATGGGCCCTGATGTATCATGTCTTCAAATGACTAAACCCCTCTGGGTGTCACATCTCTTAGTACTAACACAAAGCTGTCCTTGGTGTGACCATCTCTGCTCCAAGGATCACTTAACATGAATGACACTCATTCTAAGGATGGAAATTTAAAAACAATCTGAATCCAGCCTGTAAAAGATACAAGCTATAGATAAACATTTATTCAATACTTTCATAGAAATCCCAATATATTTTTAATATATTCTTTGAGCTTCTGTCCATGGGTGAGGTCACATGGCCTGGCATCTTTGTTTCTCCACTTCTACTTCTCTCATACTTGTTTAACCTCTTTTATCTCAAGAGAAATTGACCCAAGGCACACTCTACACAAATCCTAAATCATTAATATAGACTTATAACCACAGCAGAAAAGTTATGGTTTAGAACATTTATTTGGAGAGACACTGTTTCATCTGTAATACTTACCCTTTTCCAAATTATCTCACCAACATCAATGCATAGTCACTGCCCCTTAAGCTTCTCACCTAACCTTTTGTGATGATGTTGTCAAATTATTCCCACATATAGGCAAATCTTTAAAAGAGTACAATGCTTGAAGTAGGCATACTTTACTAATTAAAATTAAGTTAAATGATTGTCAAATTGGACCAAATTAGTCCAACTGAATTGGTGAGGGTGAACCTCTAAAGATGAAACATTCTCTTGAGACAAACATTTGGGGTGTTCATACAGCTTCAATGGCTCTAAAAAGTCAGGATCTCTTTCAAGCATGAGAATCCAGCTAACCTGGGCATGGACCAAGGCGTCATTAAAGAGGATGAACCAATTCACAGAAAATCTGCCTGCATGCTGCAGAGACAGAGCTCGGTTACTGCTCTCACACAGCAGTCTACGCTCTGGCTTTCTCAAGGAATCCTGTAGTTAAAAAAGAAAAGATAAAGGTAGATAATTAGAATCATTTTAACATGCAAAGAAGAAATGAAAAATTAGCTCACACCGTCACCTTTGATTAGCTTAGCATGGTGTTAAAGCTAAATTAAGCTGGGATCTAAGTACTTCAAAAACTGAGCTCTGAGGAAATCAACACTGGGAACACCTCGAAGTCATCCTAAAATGGAACATTAGTTTAAACTATTAACAAAGGTTTGCCATATAATAATTATGGTATGTTCACACAATACTATGCAGCACTGAAAAAGCAAGGAAAATTAACTTAAAATATTATACATCATAGGTGAAGCTCAAGGACATTATGTTGAGTGAAATATCTCAATCACACAAAGACAAATACTGCATATCACCACTGTTATAGAATAGAACTGACATGGGAGTTGGGAGGAAACTGAGAAAAAAGGGGTAAGTAATGAATACTGCACTGGAAGAGACGAAGGAAAGAAGTGTTTAAAAGGAATATCTGATTAGGCATTCTCTGTATGACAAGAGTCCAGAATAAGAGGTGTATAGCAAAGTGGACTTGGGGAAGGAGGAAATTATGCAACTATGAATAAATAATTTTTTTCAGGTGAACTGGGGGTGAGAAGGAGAATGTGCAACAATGAATGAATGAAAATCTAACTTTTCTGTAAACTTTCATTAAAATCACAATAGAAAAGAAAAAAAATTAAAAAAGGTCTGCCTTGTGTCTTAAGCTTTTTTAAGATCTAGAGGGAATCAAAAGATTAGACAGTGCAGTGCAGAAAATGACTTGATAGAGTTATTCTAAACCACTATCTTTGTAAGTCTCACGAAGGGACTAGGCAAGAATAGGCAAATAGGAGGTGTCTGGGGCCCACCAACGGGGCTGGAGAGATTGCTAACAATGTAAGTAAGGCATAGGGCACCTGGACAGGTCAAATAATTCAAATACAGTGTTTACTGTTGTTGTTGTATGATACTAGAACTCACAACCATCTATGAACACAGCATTCAGGTGGGGGCTGATCAGTTTTGCTTGTCATTCTGCCAGCCTTAAGAAGAGCTTGCACAGAGGCAGAAAACAGATCTTGTTATTGTTAAGAGAAAGAACCCAACAGTGCAGTGAATGACTTGGCTCTGAGATCCTGGGGCTGACCGTAATACCTGAGCTGTGGTAAGCAGCTAATAGGAATAGTAGTAACAGGAGCTCAAGCATGACAGAGCTGTAGGCTTCTCACTCATGGAGTGAAAACCTTGAAGGCCTTCAGGATAGGCTTGTGGTAGAGTTAAGTCCCTTCTGGCATTTATTGGGGTCTCTGGGAGTCGTGCTCGATGATACTTAACAATAATATACATTAGTGGTGGAAAGAAGAGTCACCAGCACCTTATATGGCAGAGTTTAAAAATCTCTGCAACACTTGCCCAAGTGGGGCAGCCCTGGCTCAGAGACTGCTCTTTGGTGGCTGAGAAGAGACTGTCAGGACCCAAGAATTGTAGAAAGAGGTTTCCCTGACTTTGACTTGTAACTTACCCGATAAACTCCCTACCTATGATTACTCCCTACCTGTGGGTTCTGCGTGGTCAAAGCCAGCAGAGTAGTAGAGGACTGTGGGCAAGATTGCTAGTGTTAGAATCAGTAGAAAAGATTTTGAGCATAGGGCATTTCTGGCCATATAGGAAATGGGTATTTCTGCTGTCACTGGACGGCTGCTGTTGCTGGGCATTCACCCTCCTCATTGTAGAGTTACGACTAAAGGTCACTGGCTTCCATTACGACACCAACACAGATAGGACACTTAGGGGAAAGTGAGTTGATACTAATGGGGGGGGGGCAACTCACAAAAGGAGGGGAGACTGCTCTGTAACTGAATAATACAATACTGCTTCATGAAACATTAGACAGAAGAAAAATTCTAAGTAAATGTATCCTTTCATGTCTACAAAGAAGACACGAACAAACTAAAGATGCGCTTTCAGAGAGTATGCCTTGAGATGAGGAAAAGTGTGACCATATGAGCATGTGGTTCTTATGCATTTTAGAAATGGGGTCATTAAAGCATTACTGTCATAAACAGTGAGGAACAGAGAGAACTATGGCAGTTGTTACGGAAATGCCTGCTGCTTCCTGGAGTACTGACAACTGGCATGAGTTACCGTCATTTTTCCTGGAAAAGTCTTCCAGAAGCCCAGTGTGTACTCTGCTTCCTTCCTTTTCCTGCCGAGGTGGAGAGCAAGAGACTCATAAGAAGAACTGCAATCCTGTAATTTCTGGTATTCTGGAGAAGTCTAGAGGCCAATAGTTAAGGGGAGAAAAAAATAAGAACATCAAACAATAATCTAGAATGTATAACCTCAGTGTGATGCAGTATTAGACTCTTGCTTCAGAACATACATGGTGCTTGAAGAGGGGCTGGACAAAGGAGAAGATCAGTTCCAGGACAAACTCGATTACACACTGATACGGACTGACACCATGACTGCGGCAATGGGCTTGAAAGAGGTCAGAGGTCATGAGGATGATGCAGGACAGAACAGAGTTCAGCTCTTTGTTCATAATGTCGCTGTGCATCATAGTCAACTCAATGGTGCCGAACACCGTGGACCCAAAACTACACCTACATGTGCAGAAGTAACTCAACGAGGAAAGAAACAACCACCAGGAGTTAGTGAGGAGAAACACAAGTAAGTCAGGGCACAACTAGGGTTCTTCAAGTGTTTTGGTCCCAGGAGTCCTTTACTGTTTATGAGCTATATGTTTTTATAATTAAAAAGAAAATTATAAACTCTTGAGTAATTTAAAGAGTAAATAACATTTTAAGTGTAAAATAACTATTTCCCAAAACAAACTAGTGATGAAAGTGCCACTGTTTTACATTTTTGCAAACTTCTACTACACGGCTGAAAAGAGGACAGATTTTAATTTTTTTTTCTACATTTAATCTGTTACATTATTTGGTCGAAATATGATTCAAAGATAAATACAGCTGGAAAAGTGAAGAACAGTTTAATAGCTATTTCAAGTAACTATAGATATTCTCCTTTGATAGTACAGTACAACTTAAGTGGTAGTTTCTTGTAGAATTAACTGCAATGTGACATCTGAAACCATGTCAATGAACAGGAACGATCCGCTGTTATGATAAACTCAATGGGTCACCATGCACTTTGGACAGATCTTTCATCCATGCATGATTCTGCAATAGCATGAACTGAGCATTCGGGAATGCTCGATTTTGAGTTACGTGGATGTTCCACTTGTTGATACACTAAGCAATAGAACCAATTTCACCAGAAAAAGTCTTTTAGGTATTAAGAAACTGTCAAGCTCAAAATGGTAGATAATGTTTTTCAAAATCCTATTTAAAGAATAAAAAAAATCTTATTTTTCATTGAAGAGCTTGGATTTTAACAATGGCAACAATGTTTTCCCTGAAGTGTCAAGTTTATTCCCTCGGTTTTTTTTTTATTTTTTTTGGGGAAAAAAAGGTGGTTTATTTTGTTTCTTAGTCATGGTGTCATTTGGGAAAGAACAAAGAGTGGGGAGGGCAAGTGGAAATCAAATATTTTTGGGAGGAGGCCCAAACTTCCCAGAATCCAGGGACCCTCCCCAATCTGGGTGCTTGGGGTGAAGGGATATATGTGGGGGAGTGAGAGGAGAGGCAGAGCGTGATTGATAAAGCTAGTGTAGAAAAAAGGCACTGGTGGGTTATATCTTGGGCCTGCAGGAGGGTGAAGCCAGGCTCCTTGGCATTCAGGCCTCTAGTCCTTTCCCTTCCCTTTCTTGGCTTTGGTCTTGGTTTTGGTCTTAGGGGTGCAGGGCTTCATCACGAGGATTGTCTCCTGACACTGGGCATTGTACCGCGCCTTCTTCAGTGTGCCCTGGCGGGCTTTGGTGCCAGTGTCTCCATCACGTGCGCCCCAGCTCTCAAACTTGTACTTACAGTCAGCTCCAAACTCCTTCTTCCAGTTGCATGGCACCCGGCACCGGATGCGCTGGGTCTGGGTTCCGCAAGTGCCCTCACAGAAACCCACTCCGCAGTCCTTGCTGCTGGGAGTACAGGGCCCCCAGGCCCACTCCGCGCATTCGCTCCCCGGACCGCCCTTCTTTATCTTTCTTTTTGGCTGCCGCGGAAGCGAGCGCCAGTAGGGCGAGGAGGAAGGCTCGGTGCTGCATCTTGCTGGCTGCCGGCGCTGCTTTGCTCCCTCCTGCGCCCGTCCCGTCCCGCTCCTATTCACTCATTTTTGAGCAAAGTTCCAAATCTGTCCAAATCTGGATGATCATAGTTAACCTGTTGGTTGTTCTTTCAAGTTTAAAAAGCCAAGGCGATTGGTTCAGTTTCCAAATCAAACAACGAAAGCAGTGGTTTTCCTTGAGACAACATAATTTGGAGTGCAGGAGAATTGCTTACGTATATGTCCTACTCCATCACAAGGAATATTAAAAAGACGTGAACTCAATGGTTGAGATTAAATCGAGTCCATAATCTATCTTATAGCTGAGATTAAAAAAAATCTGTAATTTTTACTGTTCCACCAAGAACATTCTTACGTGAAATTGGCATTTTTGTTTTGCTTTGAACTACAAATGCAAGCTGGTTTGCAATATAATGAGGACTACTACAGTTAATAGGTCTGTCCTGGAAAGGGTGAAACCAGTCACACACTTTGGGAACATAACCAGGAGGGACCAGTCGTTGGAGAGGGACTTCATGCTTGGAAGGGTGGAGGGACACTGCAGGAGAGGAAGACCCAGGATGAGATGAAATGACTCAGTGGCTGGAAAAATGGGATTCGGTCTGTGAAAGGTGATGATATTGGATCAGGATAGGGCAGGTTTCAGAGCTAATGTACATAGAGTTGCTATGAGTCACAGTCGACTTGATGGCACATAACAATAACAACAACAACAACCAGTTATATGGCCAGCAGCAGTCTGCTAACCTAACAAATTTTATGCAAAAACTAGACCAGTTTACATTTGAGAAAACTCCAGTTATCCCATGGTTTCATACATCATAGACATAGATATTGCTGCTGTTATGTACCACCAAGTCAGAACCAGCTCATAGCTAACCCTCCAGTGGGTTTTCAGAGGCTGTAAATCAAACAGGAAGAGATCTTTCTCCCGTCCTTCTTCAGCAGAGCAAATGGCTAAATCGAACCATGTGCTTTTGGTTTCGCAGTGTAGCTCCTCGCCTGCTAGGCCACCAGAGTTGCATGTGAATACACACACATATATATTAACATGATCCAAATATCTAGCATGAGTCCATCATGACCCAAAGGCAAGAAAGAAAGGGCTTTAAAGAGCTCTGTGGAACCGGAACTCAGAATGCTGTCAATAAACTGTCAACCATGGAATGAGCAGGACATATAGCTAAACCTCAACCTTAGCCAAGGCTGAAAAGGTCCTGAGCAGAAACGGAATCTGTAACAGAGAAAACATTTATACTTTGTTCTTTGATCTGCGAAAAAATTAGACATATATAAATGAATATTAAGTTAATGGAGTTCCATATTTTGTGGTGGCATAATCAAACCTACACACTACTATAGCCTTTAGTTTTCTTTTAAATATGGAATGCTTCATGAATTTGCGTGTCATCCTTGCACAGGGGCCTTGCTAATCTTCTCTGTATTGTTCCAAATTTTTTATATATGCTGCCCAAGTGAGCACTGGCCTTTAGTTTTCCAAGCATTCATTCAAAGAGGGGATATGGGAGAACTTACCACTTCAAAACAAGTAGCAAGCTTTAGCAAAACTTTAGCATATTTATGAAGTCGTCTGATTGGCAAGAAAAACAAAGTATTCAGGATTTCCATCAATTGGGTGTTTTCATCATTCATTTCTGATAAATTCTGTAATAGCTCCTGGTTTTTATTTAGGAAATCACTGGAGGTAAAATAAGAAAGAGATTCATTTAATCATTTTGGTATTGTTAATACACATGACATGGAATAACAAAAACATTTCACTAGACTTTAGTAGAAAGCAAACTGTTACAAACTAACAAGATAAACACAATAAAGTAAGCTTAAAGGAAAATTAAAGAATTTATCTAACTGTAAGACAGGAGGTTTTGAGTATAAAAACTAGCAATTAGAAACAGCAGTAAAAATAATAACAATAGAAATGGTTAATCAGGGAGCTGTGCCTTATGTTCTTAGGAAATGAATCATGGATCCACGGCTCCAGGAAGTAATCAGAGAAGGCCAGCTGATACCATCACCTGTTAATTTGCAAGTCAAAAATCAGCAATAAATGAAAAAGCTAATTATTCTGATCAGTCATACTAAAGGAAAAAGAAAACATCTTACTCCAACAACATGGTATGGTGTATTAAAATGATGTAAGTTCCTCTTTTTTTTCCTTCACTTGTTGACCTTTTAAGAGTTTACTATATGAGAATAATGAAAAGCTGAAAGGACCAGTACTACAATTAACAGGAAACAGTAAAGCAAACTGCATGTGAAGATTTCAGTGCTGAGCTCTTTAAACGTATTTCAATTGAAGCTAACATTTATTTTCTACACATTCATTATTAAGGTTCTATTAAAAACTGTAATGTCCAGTGAGACAATGTTCACTACACTTAGATAGACTTAAAATACTTTCAAATACCTAAAAGAGATTGTAAAGAACTAGGACTTAGCAGGACAAAAGAATTATTATTATTATCTGCTACTTACGAAGCAGAAACTGTGTGCCAGGTACTAAGATGAGTGCTATATAAGCACCGCAGTACAATTCTCAGCTTTGAACAAAACACAATTTCCTTACTGAAACACAAGACTATCACTTTATAATGCCTTAGAAAACTACAGAGTAAAACTTAAAACCAGGAGAAGATAAAGTAGATGAATGCGATCTTCTAAGAATCAAACCACCATGCACATCCAAAAACTTCTCCAACAGGGTAAAAAGGGAAGCCACCGACTGGGAAAAAGTATTTGGTAATGACATGTCAGATAAGGGACTAATATGCAGAATTTATAAAATACTTGAGCACCACAACAAGATAAAGGTAAATAATCCAATTGAAAAATGGGCACAGGATATGAACAGACACTTCACCGAAGATGACATTCAGATGGCCAACAAGCACATGAAGAAATGTTCAAAATCCCTAGCTCTAAGAGAGATGCAAATTAAAACTATGAGATATCATCTCACCCCAGTAAGAATAGTTAATTTAACAGAACAGCAAGCAACAAATGCTGGCGAGGTTGTGGAGAAACTGGAACCCTTATTCACTGTTGGTGGGAGTGTAAAATGGTGCAACAACTATGGAAGGCAGTATGGCACTTTCTCAAAAAGTTGCAAACAGAGATACCATTTGACCCAGCAATTCCACTACTGGGAATATACTCCAAAGAGACCATAACTGACATCCAAGCAGATATATACACACCCATGTTTACTGTGGCTTTGTTCACAATAGCAAGGAGTTGGAAACAACCTAAGTGTCCATCAACAAATGAATGGATAGAGAAGCTGTGGTATATTCACACAATGGAATACTATGCTGTATTGAAAAACAAGGAACTCATGCAATATTATTCAAAATGGGTGACTCTGGAGGACATTATGCTGAGTGAAGTAACCCAGTCACAAAAGGACAAATACTGCATAGTGCCACTGTTGTAAAACAGGACTGACCTTGGGGTTGGGGAGAGACTGAGAAAGATGGGTTCAATAATGTATACTGCACTGAAACAGATGAGGGAGAAAACTGTTTAAAAGGGATATATAATTAGGTATTTTTGTCATGACAGGAGTCTAGAGCGAAGGCTACATGGTAGAGTGGACCTGGGGCAGGGTTTGTAAAACAGTGAAAGAATTTTTCTTTTACTTTTCCAAGAGGGTAGTGTGAGGGAAATGTGCAACAATGAATGAATGGAAATCCAAAGTCTCTGTAAATTTTTACTGAAATTAATAATAAATTTAAATTAAAAAAACTACAGAGTAAAGAGATGTTTAAAAACTAGAAATTACAACTATTATCAATCTTAAATAATGTATGTTGCATTGAAATAGATGAGGGAGAGAACTGTTTGGAAGGGATATATGATTAGGTATTACTGTCATGACAGGAGTTCAGAGTGAAGACTTCATAGTGGAGTGGACTTGGGGGGAGGGATTGCATAACAATGAAGGAATTTTTCTTTCACTTTTCAAAGAGAAGAGTGAACTGGGGTGGGGGAGGGGTGGGCAGGGAGAAAAATGCAACAATGAATGGAAATCCAAAGTGTCTGTAAACTTTCATTAAAATTAATAAAAAAAATTTTTTTTTTAAAAAAAGATGTCATAAAAATACACATTGCTTTTGGGAACCTAAACGTTCAATGGCAGAAATCTAGATGTTGAAAAATGTAATTAATAGAGCTGACTGAGCACCCTGGGGAACTTGGCCCAGAGTTTAATTTCTATTTCACTGACGTTTCTCATTTCCTCTCTTTGTTCTCTGCTGAGATCGGGTGAGGATACTCAACCCCACAGAAAGAAGTGTGCTTCAGAGACGGATGTGAAACAAGGGGAGCACACAGCACAGTCCTGTCCAGGCATCATCAGTCCACACCAGCAATGTTCTGACTCCTTCATGTCCTTGCCTATACCTGTCTTCAAAAGGGCCCCTGGTATAGTGTAGTCATTATCTTGGGAACACAAAGAGTTTTTTTAGAGTTGGTTTGGTTGGGTTTGTGTTTGTTGGTGTTTTGGTTTGGTTTTTTTGAGATTTAATACGTGAGCTTATTTATTTACCACGCAGAAAATTCTCTTTCTGATTGGATTTGGATTTGGAGGTAGAAGCTCTCAGAGACGACAGCCTCCATCTCTTGGTGATCTGATCCTGGTGTTTTTCTTGGCCTCCTGCATTGGCTTAGCGTACTCTGCAGCCTCCCCCTTATTCTTTCTTCTTAGTGCGCTGTTTCTTCAGAGAGATATGCTGACACTTGTGCTGCAGGACACAAGGAATGACAAGATACTGAAACTTTGGCACTTTGGTCAGAGGTTTCTTGCCTTTCTTCACAGTAACCAAGTTGAGAACACTCAGACTGGCATATACAATGCAACCCCGGACAGATTTGTGTCTCTTCTTTCCAGTTCTCCATGGTCTGTAACAAGAGTGTTCGTTATTCAGCAGCACGTGAACATGGCCATGGGTCAAGACACCCTGCTTCATGGGAAAACACTGTTTGTTGTTTCCACCACTGATCCAGACAACGTACTCCATTCATCACAATAGTCAGCAGCATCTTCTACGGCCATTCGTTTTTCATAAAATGTACGAAGTTTGCGTTCATTGTCTACTTCAATGAGCTTTTGGCAGGCAGTGTCTAGGAAGGAGATGGTCAGCTTCATAGTGAAGCAGCTGAATGCCCTAGCGGTGCCATGAGAAAGACGGAAACAAGAGAGTATTGTGTATTGAAAAAGAATCAATTCCTACTCAATTTTTAGGAACAAGAAGAAGCTTTTTAACTTGTAAACAAAGTCTACCAAAAACTCAAAATATTAATCTTTAATGATAAAACAGTAAAAGCATTTATTTTCAAATAAGAAAATAGAACTATTATTAAATGGGTATAAGAGCAAAGGCAAATACGCAAAACACTGAAGTTTGGGAAAAGAGGGGGCTGTCAAGTTGATTCCGATTCAGTGATCCTGTAGCACAAAGCTGACCTGTTCTGGAGTCTCTGAGGCCATGACCCTCTGAGGAAGTGAATCACCAAGTCCTTTCTTGCACATAGCAACTGTGATTTGACCCATCAACCTTTCAGTTAATAATCAAGCCCTGAACCCCCTGCTTTACGAGGAGTTATTTCATTAATAAAATCTAAACTTCTCTGAGTCTTTGTTGCTAGGTCAATATTTATGGGTAAACTATTCTGTTCAAAATTACTGTTCTCACATAGGGAGCATTTACCTGAAATACTATTCAGCAGCTAAATACAAATACTTAACATTTGTGCAAACCTTGCACTCTCATTTGTACTATTAAAAAAATGGTAAACTCATTTCCAAAGAGTCAGATGCTCCAGCAGGATTTCAGAGGCTGTAAATCTCATGGGAAGGGACTGCACATCTTTCTCTCACAGAGTAGCTAGTAGATTTGAACCATCTGCCTTTGGCTTGGCAGTGTCTACATACTACAGCTTACTTTATTTGTTCCTTAAAACAAGAGAAGAAGTGCATTCTCTGTTTTCAGATGGGAAATTATTAGGCTAGAGAGAGGAAGAGATGAGAATACGTTGTTATGTGCTATGACGTCAGAACCAACTCATAGCTGACCCTCCTGAAACTGAGTTTTCAGAGGCAGTATACTCTATTGTGAGGACACTGCCCAACTTACTCCCATGGAGCAGCTGGGGAATTTGAACCCTGTGCAGCTGGGTTGGTATTGCAGCTCCTTAACACTCAACCACCAGGGCAGCTCTCAATGATAATATATGGTGTTATTAAAACAGGACGCAGCTCTTAAGCCTTTTAGGTCAGTGGTTTTTACTAATAGCACCTTGTCCTTTTCAAAAGTTAGTGAAAATCTACATTTTGATTCATTTGTTAAAGGGACTAAGTCAAAGGTGTCCTGGGCACTGAAAAACACAGACCACTATAAAACATGATCTCTGGCTGTTAGAATAGTAACTAGAAAGTATGTATATTATTTACTTACATGGCAGGCTTAGCAAGAAGCTGGAATCCTCCCATAACCAGAAAATTTGTAATAGATGTGCAATACCTTGAGCAAAAACAAAACAAAACATGTATGTTAGTGTTGAAATCTAAATTAGTTCTTGAGAGTTTTCAAAGTACCTGCATCAAATATTTGTTGGTTTCTCACCCATGAACAGTTTCAGAATTTTTGTGATGTTAACATTCATGAACTGCAAAGGACTGGAAAGAAAGGCAAGTCATGTGATAATCACAATCACCAGGGAGAAATGTCATTTTAGCAAAGAAGACATTAAAATAGAAAACTCAAAAATACCTAGAAGTTATGCTGCCATTTATTTTAGAGACATGATAATTTGATTAACAAGTATGAGAAAGTATGACTAACATAATTAGATTTTTTTAATTGTAAAATTTCTCTCATTTTCATTTCAAATTTTCCAATTAAGTCTTCAGAAATGAACAGTTAAGATGCTAAGGAAGGAAAGATGCTCAAGGGAGAGAGTATAAGAAAATTCTGATGAGCATTAAAACACTGCTAGAGAATAAGTTCTGATATACTGTGTTGAGCCAGGCCTGTCCCTTCTGTACTTGCAAAGGAAATCAACTGACTTTGTGAGAGAGAGAGTGAGTTTAATAAATACAGGGAAGAGCCTAATTAAAACTTGCTCAATGTACCAAAATTTCAAGCATAAATGAAAAGAGACTACGAGGTAAACACAACACAAAAAAGAGGACAATTACACCAGTAAAGCACAAATTTTCACATAAGAATGAAATTTAGATTAAAAAAAATCATTATCAAATGATCTTATTTCTTATGTCTGAAAAAAAAGATGGATTTAAAGATTCAAATCAGTCTTCCAGACAGTTGCCTGAAATACACATAATTTTGCTTAGATAAAAATCATATATACACCTATATGTATCTGAAAGTCTGAAGTAAAATAAGTCAAGATGACTAACAATGGTAACTTCTGGTGGTAAGAGTATAGTGGATTTTAAATATCTTCTTGATTACTTTTATCTTTATAGCTTTAAAAATAAATACACACTGTTATTGTTAGTTGTTGCCGAGTTCATTCTAACTTAAGTGCCAGGGTAGAACTGTACTCGGCAGTTTTCAAAGCTGTGACCTTTCAGAAGCATACTGTCAATCTATCGATCGCTTAACAGTTTGAGCCACATAGGCGGCCAAATGTGTGACTTCCAGTACAAAGAACCCAAATGAAATGTGACAGGTCATCAAATCCCCGAGGGGCAGGAACTTTTCACTGGCTCCATGGTATGGCTGCAGAACTCAGGAGAGCTCAGTACTCAGTGGGCACTCAACCAATCTTTGCTTGTTAGATGAGTTATGAGTACACAAAGAATAAAATTTACACTTCAGATCAAAGCATATCCTAATGTAAGTAAAAGAAACAATTAAATGATGACTGGAATCAGAATATCAAAATATAAATTAAGAAAAAGGAAAGACTATTTCAGGTTAAATTTTAAGCACACTTGATTTTTTTTTTTTAAATCCAAGAATGGGAAAATTCTGGATAACTATTTTAGTTTTATTAGAAAGTATCTTTATTTTAAACTCTTCACTTACATAATAATAAATAAGAGATATCAAAACAACTCCATATATATAGTGAGCAGTAAGTTTTAAAATAATTTGTCCACAGTTACTATTTCCTCAAATTTGGGTACAATTAAACAAAATTAGACTCTAAAAAACTGATGTACTATATTTTATGTGACTGAGGCAAGCTACTACCAATCAGTCTACTATTATATTGAAGAAAGTACTTTAAAAAAATTCATTGTTTTGAAATATTTTTCTCCCTTAGAGAAAATAAAATTTCAGCAATGCAAAACAGTAACTGATTTACTACTAAAACACTGCTTTGCAATTTTCTATTACCTTAAGTCTCTCTCCCTAAGCTAGTCTTTTCAGATTAAGAAGCAGAATAACCCTGCAGAGATTGGACATGACATGAACTGGATACTTGCTCTGTATAACTATCCAAGAAGAGACATGCGTGCTTCAGAATGACCAAATTCCTGACTTCCTTTATGCCATGAAGGAAGCCGCTCAGTGAGGTTCTGTGCTGACCAATCAGGTAGCACAGTTTGCTGAATCGGCTTGCCACCTCCTGCAGTAGCTGGACTGTAGCTGCAGTGCCCAAATTATCTGTAACAAAGTAATAATAGTGATAAGGAAGAGGGTATTAAGGAGGGGGTGAGGACCCAAACTAAAGACTTCAGCCTACTCATTATCTGAATACTTCCTTAAAATCAAGATGATAAATTCCCCTTTTCTAAAAAGACTTGATGTTGAGATGTGGTTTCAGCTGATGCCTGCTGTTGAGTCAATTTAAACTCAGAGTGAACCTCCACAACAGCAGAACTGCCCCATAGGGTATCCTAGGTTGTAATTTTTACAGCAGCAGATTGCCAGGTCTTTTCTCCATTGACTGGCTGATAGGTTCGAACAGTAACCTTTCAGTTAGCAGCTAAGTGAATAACCAACTAGTGAGCCACTAAGACTCCTTATAACAACACCTATGGAATGCTAATAATGACAAAACAGTATCAGAGACAACGGGGTCCAATTATCTGAAGAGCTAGTTAAGACATATTTATGATTGAGTAGGTCTAGAGTAAGGTTCTAAGATGGATCCTTTTAAAGAGGGAGGGGAAAAAGCTTTACAGGTGAGTGCAATGTTCACCTAAATTTGAGAACCACCGAGCTAATCCAATCCTCCTCTCATCCTAAAGATAAGTAATCTGAAACCAACAGAAGAGAAGTGAATTATCTAATTTCACACAATGGGTCAGTGATACAGCCTGGAGTTAAATTCACTTGTGTAGTTAAATCTTGGGTAACATTTCCACTTTGTGTACTGACTTGTGCTCTACTTGCCCTCTGGGCTTCAATGCACAGAGATATCAAACAATGAGACTGTCCAGGCTGCTCTGAACCTTTACAGAGGTCATCAGGAGAACTTGGGCATTTCCTGAGTTCAATGTTCTTGATTTCTAGGGCTTCTTTCCAAGCAGCGTGGCTGATGAGGAGGCCAGATAGATCAATAATGAATCAAGAACCAAAACAGGGAAAATGCAGATCTTTATCTCCAGAATAATTCAAGAACTGTGTAGCTGAAATGGCTATCTTTCTATTGCCAATGTCTGTGGGTGCTGGGTTTACTCAAAGGTGGGAATGTAAAGAGGCAAAACATAACTAAAATTAAAAAGAAATAATAATACAAAAAGTACACAACCTCTACAAAGACACAAAACCCAGAAAGAATATAAACTAGGTGCTTCAGAAGTAGAAACTTCTTCCTGAGAAGTAACAACAGATTGGACCACACAAGCCAATGTCATTCTAAAATGACAAAATAGGTGTATTAACATGACAGATTTAATTACTATAGTGGTACTGAATGCCATCGAGTCGAGCACAACATAGTGACACTATGAACAGAAGGCCTAAAGCCTTTCTATAACTATCGTTATTTATCAAAGTTCATAGAGTTTCCAGAGGAATGTTGCTTAGAAAGTGGATTCTGAGTCTTCAAAACAGAGGGAGGTCCTAGGAATGTAGGTGAGAAAAGGAGAAAGGGAACTGCCTCTCTGTTTTCAGAGTGCAGAGCCAAACTTTGGAAAATTTTTGGCATAGGGAAATTACAGTTTCAAGAGCCTGCAATGAGTGTACTCCTTTTAATCTTAGACAAATTCTCCTCAGGCATTCCATAAACCTGAGCTGCAGTGTACCATCTGGGAATACTGGGCTCCATGCCCTCTGCTACTGAGGAGTAATGATGTCAGTCTGAGGACTAAGGTGCATCTGATTCAGGCCATGGTCTTTCCATTTATTTGCTATGCATCTGAGAGCTGGATAATGAATACAGATCACAGAAAAAGAATTGACACCTTTGAGCTGTGGTGTCATGGATGGCCAAGAGAACAAACAGATTTGTCTTGGAGATGGTACGGCCAGAGTGCTCTGAGGCTTCACTTCACATAATCTGGGCATGTTGCTAGAAGGGGCTATTTCTAGGAGAGGGACATGATGCTGGGCGGGTGGAGGGTTGGCAAAGGAGTGGAAGACCCTCAACCAGGTGGACTGACATGGTGAATGGTGACTGCTGTAATGAGTGCTTGTATGTCAGGAAGTGTGAGGAAGGCGCAGGATAGAACAGAGTTCAGATCTTTTGTTCATAGGGTCGCTATGAGTCGTATTTGACTCGACAGCACCTAACAACAACAACAACATGCCTTCTGTATATCCTCCTAACCTTCCACCTCTCCTTGCAGCTGATTTCTGCTAAAAAAGAAAACAACAACAAAAAAAACCCCAAAAACAAAAAACCTGAAAATTGCATTTATTGCAGTAAGAAGCTGTGCTACTACCAGAGAAATGTGCTTCAAATCCACCAGCTGTTCTACGAGAGAAGGATGGGCAACCTCCTCTCATGGTATTTACTGCCTTTGAGAACATGTTGGAGGGTCAGCTATAGATTTTGACTCAACAGCACACAACAGCAGCAACAACAATGTTGACTAGGAAAGCTGGCTTAGTGGTAATTAGTTGTGCTGCCAATCTAAAGGCACATGGTTTGAATATACCGGCTTCTTCACAGGAGATAAATGGGCAATCTCTTCCCATAGATTAACTGCCTCTGCAAATTTGCGAGAACTATGAATTAGTTCTGACGAGATGGTACATAATAAGAACACTGGCTAAGGAGAGCTCTGGAAACTGAGCGGTAAGGAGTTGGTGCTGCCAACCCAAGGGACACAGTTCAAATCCACCAGCTGGCATGAGGAAGAAAGATGGACAATCTCTGCCTGTGTGAATCGCTGTTGTTGTTATGTGCCATCAAGTCGCCTACAACTCACAGAGACCCTATGTACAACAGCCCTAAACCCTGCTCTATCTTGCCAATCTTGTTGTCTCCAACACATCTATCCCCATTATCCCGGTCACTGAATCAATCCACCTCATAGAGGGTCTTCCTCTCCTACACTATCCCTTCCCCCTCCCAAGCATGATGTCCCTCTCCAAGGACTGATTTCACCTTGCAACATGTCCAAAGTATGTCAGCCGAAGCTTCAGAATCCTTGCCTCCAAGGAACAGCTTACATATAGATTGAAAAAGTTTGGAGACATGACACATCCTTGACGCACACCCTTTCCAATTTTAAACCGTGCAGTGTTTCCTTGCTCTGTTCTGATGAATGTCTCCTGGTCCAAGTATAGGATTCGCATAAGCACAATGAAGTGTTCTGGGATTCCCATTCTTCTCAGAGTCAGCCACAGTTTGTTGTGATCCACACAGTAAAATGCCTTTGCACAGTCAATGAAACACAGACATTCCTCTGGTACTCTCTGTTTTCAGCCAAGATCCACCTGACATTAGCAATAATACCCTAGTGCCATGGCCTCCTCTAAATCCAACCTGCACTGTGCGACTTACTGCCTCAAAAACTCCTCTGGAGAGTCATTTTCAGTTTGCTCCAACACGACAGGACGTAACAACAACACTGGCTAAGACTGTCAATAATCTCAGAATTACAATTTTAAGAACCTGTAAGTCCAAATAAAAACCTTCCTTGATAAATTACAAAACTTTTAACAAATAAAACGATAATTCAGGTACTAACTGGAAAATATTTTAGAACAAGTGAGACTATATGTGTTGGTTGAAACCAAAACAAAAGATTAACTTCCCCAAAGCTGCTACTGTTTCTCTGCCATAAAATTCTACTCAGTCATCTACCTGTAGAAAGGCCCCACGACTTTGAAGCTGCTCTGGGCTCCACGGCCTAAACAAGAGCAGCTGGGTTACTGGAAATTGTTTCTAATATGCTAAGTGCCTGTGTGCAAAAGAAAATGGAATAAAAGGAGAAAACAGAATTCAAAATATTTTCCTTATTTGAGGATAAATGGGTGGTGGTGTTTTTCTTACCTATGCTGAGAAGAGGCCTGAGAATCTGAGATTTGATATCACTCAGTTTTGAATAGAACCGTCTTTCTGTCGTAGCCAACTCGTGGAGACTGGCTATATACCCCATAATGTTTTTGTCCACCAAGGTTAGAAAACTGTCTTTTCCTGCTGTCACTCTGCTTATGTAACCAAGCTGAAACAGAAAATTAAAAATATCAAAATATAATTTATATTTTAATAGCAATGTGGAGCACAAAAGCTAATGCATACCAGCTAGTAAAGAGGGCAATTGTTAAATATTCAGGAAATTTTCATTCTAAATTACATTATGGTCACTAGAAATTAGCCACAGTGAAGCATCCAAAAGTTTGGTTTTTTCCTTTAAGAAAAGAAGCTGACTTACCAGCACAACATTATTAATATGTATATCTAGCTCTCTCTCTCTCTCT